TATTTTTGACCATAAATTTCAAAAATATTAATTTCATTTTTAAACTTGTATCAATCAAACAACTCATAAATTGAAATATATCTAAAATCTTTTTTGACACAAGAAGACAAGAGGACTATAAATTGCTACAATATATGATTTTAAAAAACGATCTAAGTTTAAACTTCTAATTTACTCTGAATGATTATATTCATAATCATACAAATATCTATATTTTATTTTTGACCATAAATTTCAAAAATATTAATTTTTTTTTAAAACTTTGTATCAGTCAAACAATTCATAAATTGAAATATATCCTAAATCTTTTTTGGCACAAGAAGACAAGAGGACAATAAATTTCTATAATATCTTAAATAATTTCATTTATTATTTTTTCCCTTCTCATCTCCTATATAAACTGGTATAATATCCCTCAATTTCACCAACAAAAAATAACAAAGAAAATGTCAAAAAATAAGACTCCAATCGGTGAAGAAACCACAAAATTTGATATCCATGTTCTATCTCAGGTTCATTATTTCACCCTATCTAATTTAATTTTTTAAATTTTTAAATTTTTTTTAATTCATTTTTTATTCATTTTTATAGGATGAATCAATTATTATTTTACGTATGTCACCTAATATGATTATGGAGAAGCTCTTCAAGTCATACTGTAAGGAAAAACAAATAATAGATTACAAAACAGTTCAATTTCTCTTCGATGGACAATCCATTTCACCGAAAAAGACTATTGATGAAGTAAGACCTTAATTTACATATAATTTAATCTAATTTATTTTTAATTTAAAATTATATTACTTTAATTTGTTTTCGCATTTTTTGTTTTTAATGAAGCTTGGATTAAAAGATGGTGATCAGATCGATGCTATGATGCATCAAACTGGAGGAGGATTGGCAAATTAAATATGAAAAACAACATATCACACATGAATATGTTGCACTTTTCTAATTTCTGCTTTTTATTATGATTTTAATTTCGAAGCTATGTACTTTAATTTTATTACTAAAGACAACTTGGATGTCATGTGTCCAAGTTGATCGTGCAATATAATCTTAAATTTGTATGTGAATTTAAGATGGTTAATAAAGTTGTCTTTTCTCTTTTTTGAGCCTCCATTTTTTTAATAGGGGATGCATGATTTTATTTTTGCTTAATTATAAAAGTAAAATGGTCAAATATGTTCTGGAACTAACTAGTCAAAATAGATCGATTATATTTTCTTTTACTTGTTTTACTCAAAAATGTTCACCAACTAGCAAAATAACTCATTTTGTGCATTGAACTGTTTTATTTTTTTTTAATCTTAGTTAATCAATAAAATGATGTTGCTAATGTTTTACTAGTCTCTTGAACAAAATCTTAACTTAGATTATGTGATCTTAACTTTAATTATGTGATAATAAAGTCTTTTCATTATTTGGGGTCTCAATTTTTTTAAAATTCTGGATGTATGATTTTATTTTTGCGTGATTATAAAATAGTAAAGTTTGTAGAAAAAAGGTATAAAATTTTATTTTTTTCTTAAAAACAATAAGAAAAGAAAGATTGTCTTCATTTTAAAAGTAGAAATAGTATAAACCTGAATTAAATTACTTAAATTTTTATTTTAATATATAAAATTTTAGATCCAAGACAATGTATAAAACCTCCTATTAAGAATTATCTTTAAATCATTAATTTTATTAAGTTTTTCTTATGTGAATTGGTTAAACTAAACGTTATCAAAATATTTACCTTTTATGATCCTTGTATTTAAAAAAAATATTGTTTTCATCATTTACAATATCCAATGGATTTTTTGAAAAATAAAAAAGGTGTACCTTTTCGCCATTATGAACGTTTTTCTTAAAATAAATAGAACAAAAAGAACTTTTATGTTTGTTTGAATAAAAAAATAGTTGTAAGAAACTGTAAAATTAAAATGACTAATTATCACTCATTAATATGGGCATTTAGTTTCATAAAATCAATCTTTTTTTTTCTTATAAGATCATACATTTATTCTTTGTTTGACCTTTAATTTGATAACTTGAGTTGCTTTTTCGGAATTTATGTGGTAGAAGTCAATGTTGAAGTCTCCTCCTTATTTGCAAGAGAATTTAATTATGATTTTGTAATGCCCCGCAACATTTAAGAAAAGATTTTAATCATCTTTCGTATATGTATAGGTTTGAACTTGATGATTTCTAAGTTATACATTTATATTGTTAAGGTCCTTTATTATGCGTAGTAATTGTATCACATGTGGTTTAGGGTCGTAAGACACTTCAAACATCAAGCCAAGTTCAAAACATTTCTATCGACTAAGTTTTCACATTAGTTCATGCAATGATCAACTTCAAACAACCATATCTCTTAGCATGAATTAGGTGGTCTTCTGACCTAAGGTCTATGAGTTTTTTTTTCAACGCTCCAAATTTGCATCATTTCGAGTTTGGAGTAAAACAGTTATGACCGTTTTACCAAAAACTACCACGATAGAGCTTTCAGAGTCAATAACTACGAACCTCATTTACAATTCGTAAATTGAAGTACAACCCGTACTGTCAACTCATGAAACAAACTTCTGAAATTCATTTTTTGGTATGATTTTCACGGACCCAACTACGAGTGGTAAACCATCTACATGTTGTAATTTGGGTCCATAGAATGAACTACTGAGACTTAAAATTTTAGTCTAACTTTCACGGATGGGATCTACGACCCATAAATCAAATCACGGACCGTAGATGACCTCATGGAAGGTTTCCGGTAGCTTTTTAATTGGGGCTTCTTTTATCTTTTTCCATTCTTCTTAAGCCTAAGCCTCAATGTTTTAAATTATATTAGGGGAATATATTCAATCAAGCACTCAGTTTTTTTTTATTTCTATGCTCTCAACTCTCCAACACAAAAAGAAACTGCAAGAAAGACAAAAGCTAGGGTTTCAAGGCTTCCAAGAAAGCTATTCTTTCGATCTTCATTCTCTCAAGTATGTAAGACTTCAATGAGAGCATCCCTTCACTTTCATGCCTAAAGTATTTTGATTCTTAAGAATTTCACAAGATTGTTAGAAGTTAAACTAGGGTTTGTATGAAATTATGATCTTTCTTCAATAAGCTATGTTTTCATTGTTTCAGTTTGGGTTTGCAACCTTATGGTACAGATCAAGCATGTTTTTTTGGTCATTCAAACCCTTATGACTTTTAAGCATGAAAACAAGCATGTTATGAATTACAACCTAAATACAAGCTATTTTATGATATGACTTTTGAGCATAGCCTCATATATGATTCAAGATGATAAATGGTTTTCATATCTATGAGCATTATATTAATAAATGTTGTTTTCAGAGGACTATTTAGTATCGAGAGGACGCGAGTTTGAAAAACTCACGTCTTATAACTATGCGCTAACGTAGGATTATGTTTCACCGCTTTGCCGGTTGACCTTCTGGCCCTGAGAGGCTCAGATTAGTGGATCACATATGATAAGATATGATTCTATACTCTAGCAATGCATAGGGAAGTCCATCCAATTAGAATTATAAGTTGGGGGTCAAGAGCTCAAATGACGTATGTCGGTTATAAGAAACTCTCAATTATGCATTTTTAAAATATATTTTAAGTCTATATGGTTCATTTTAAGTATGCTATGTCATGTATATGGTCATGTAAGACTACTGGATTAGACTTATCCTTATATATGTTTTGAACGAAGGTTTAAATGATACTTATGCATGAACACTGATTGTTTGCTCTACATTTTTTTTCTTATGTTTATTTGCTCTACAGTTCTTTTCTTATGTTTATGATTTTGGAAATCTTATTTCAGTATGCTTGATTATGCTGGTCTCCCTTACTTACTTAGTACATTCCACATACTGACACATACTTTTCTCTGTGTTGTATCCTTTTATGATGTAAATTTCGACATTCATACTCATACTCGTGGCTAGTAAGGTTTCAGTATTTCCAGTTAGCACTTGGTGAACCCTTCTCATTTGAAGACTCCATAAATTTAGGTTACTAGATTTTCCTTCATGCTGTCTTTGATTTTGAGGTAGCTCCAGACCATGTCCCGTCAGACTTATATTTTTAATTGAATTAGTAGAGGCTTATCTCATACCGTAAAAATATAGTTTCATGGATATCTAAATTCTAGTATTCAGTTATGTATTTCAGCTTTCACTTAGTTTCCTTACGATATGCTTTGACATGTATACCAAGAATTAGCCTGGAATTACTCGTGAGTTTAGGTACCGTATTACGTTTGGGATGTATACTCGTATCATGACAGATTCATGTAGCTCAAAAGCACACATTGTGTACAAATTGATCGCAAAAGACATATCAATTAATATTTACTAATAATTTCCAAGCATTTTTTCCCATGATCTAAATGTCCAATGCTTTTCCGTAGAATTAAGAGGAAAAAGATTTGATGAAAAAATTGAAACTAAATTATAAGTGAATAAATATGTGACTTTCAATTTTGCAGAATTTGGTCAAACTTTGTTTACGCTGTCTAATACTTTTCGAGTTTTAATTTACATGACACACTTTCATTTTAATTTGTAACAATGTTTATTTTATTTTTCATTACACATCCTTTAAAAAAAATATTATTTAACAGGTGTATTTGACTATTCTATCCTTATTTATGTCTTAAGACATCTTATTCTTTGAATATTTAATCTATTTTCATATCATAATTAAAGTGTTTATAATCTTTAAGAATAATTAAGTTTGAACCTTTTATTTACTCTTAATGAGGTAATTTATTTTTATTTTTGACCATAAATTAAAAAATATGCATTTCATTTTTAAATTTTGTATCAGTCAAACACTTCATAAATTAAAGTATATCACAAATATTTTTTGGCACAAGAGGACAAGAGAACCATAAATTGCTATAATATCTTAAATCATTTCATTTATTATTTTTTTCCTTTTCATCTCCTATATAAACTGGTATAATATACCTTATTTTCTCCAATAAAACATAACAAAAAATGTCAGGAAATAATTTTGATATCCAAGTTCAATCTCAGGTTCATCATTTCACTCTCTAATAGAATTTTTTTTTTAATTTTTATGTTCCTAATTTTTATTTTATTTTTATAGGATGGATCAATTACGATTTTAAGCGTATCACCTGATATGGTTATGAAGAGGGTCTTCATGACATACTGTAGGGAAAAACTAATAGACTGGAAAAAAGTTCGCTTTGTCTTGGATGGAAAACGCATTTCACCAGCAAAAACTATTGATGAAGTAAGACCTTAATTTGCGTATAACTTAATCTAATTTATCGTTAATTTAAAATTATATATTTTTTAAATTTATTTTCGTGTTTCTATTTTTATGAAGGTTGGGTTAAAAGATGGTGATCAGATCGATGCTATGGTGTCTTAAAATGGAGGAGGATTCGCAAACTAAATATGAAGAAGAACAACATATCATACATGAATATGTTGCACTTTTTTAATTTATGCTTTTTATTAGAATTTTAATTTCGAAGCTATGTACTTTTGTTTTATTACTGAAAGACAACTTGGATGTCATGTGTCCAAGTTGATCATGCAACATTATAATCTTAAATTTGTATGTGAATTTAAGATGGTTAATAAAGTCGTCTTTTCTCTATTTTGGACATCAAATTTTTAAATAGGGGATGCATGATTTTATTTTTGCTTAATTATAAAAGAAAAATGATCAAATATATTCTTATATTCTTGAACTAGTTAAATAGATCGATTGTATATTCTATTACGTGTTTGGCTCAAAATGTTCACCAACTAGCAAAATAATTCATTTTATGCATTGAACTGTTCTTTTCTTTTTTTAATCTTAGTTAATCAATGGAATGATGTTGCTAATTTTTTACTAGTCTCTTGAACAGAAGTTTAACTTAGATTATGTGATCTTAACTTTATTAATGTGATAATAAAGTGTTTTTAGTATTGGGTCCTCAATTTTTTAAATAGTGGAAGCATGATTTTATTTTTTTCTAATTATGAAATACTAAAGTTTGTAGAAAAAAGGTATACGATCTTTTTTTTAAAAATCATAAGAAAAGAAAGACTGTCTTCATTTTAATAGTAGAATTAGTTTAAACCAGAATTAAATTACTTAAATATTTATTTTAATATATAAAATTTCAGATTCAAGACAATGTATAAAACTACCTATTAATAATTATCTTTAAATTATTAATTTTATTCAGTCGCTCTCATGTGAATTGGTTAAACTAAACGTCATCAAAAGATTTACCTTCTATGATCCTTTGTATTTTTAAAAAAAATATTTTTTTCATCATTTACAATATCCAATGGATTTTTTGAAAAAAATAAAAAAGAGTGCCTTTATGTTGTGTGAATCAAAAAATAGTTGTGAGAAACTGTAAAATGAAAATGACTAATTATTACTCATTAATATGGGCATTTATTTTCATAAAATGTACTCAATTCGTCCACTATTGTTTTTCAGGTATGCTAAAAATAGTTGTCCAAAATTAATTGTCAATTTAAACAATTAGTCACTTTTTTTCCAATTATGCCCTTAATAATTAAGTATCTTTTCTTCTTTTAAGATCATACATTTATTCTTAGTTTGACCTTAATTTAATTCGAAAAGTATAAATTCTCCGAATATATTAAAACTACGTAATGGTTCAAATCTTTGAATATTTAAATTGGCTTAACGAATCTATGTCGTAGATATCAATTTTGAAGTTTAATTATGGTTATGTCATGCCTTGATTTTAACCATCCTTCGTATGCGTATAGGACAGAATCTGATGATTTCTAAGTTATACAATTATGTTAAGGTCTTTTACTAAATGTAGTTAAGTGTATCGCATGTGGTTTAGGGTCGTAAGGTACCTCAAACACCAAGTCAAGTTCAAAGTATTTCTATCAACTATGTTTTCACATTAGTTCATGCAAAAGGATCAACTTTAAACAATTATATCTCTCAGCATACAATGAATTATGTGTCTCATGCTATCAAATTAAAGGCCTATGAGTCTTCTTTTCAACGCTATCAAGTTTGCATCGTTTTGAGTGTGGACCGTTTTACCATGATTAATTCCATTGAAGTAATTAATTTGTTGCTTTATTTGTTTTCTATCTTGTTACATTTTTCTTACATTAGTAACATTCTTTTTGAACTAATAGTCTTTTGAAAACATTTCTACCCCACAAAGATAAAAATAAGATTTGTGTATATTCTAAATTCAATAAAAAATAACTGTTGTCATCATATAAATCAACACAACCTTTTAAAGAAGTACAATTAAATTTAAAAAATAAATCACATTAGTCAATAACAATGCTTGTTTTATTTTTCATTTCACATCCTTCAAAAGAAATATTAATTAAGAAGGAAATTTGACTATTCTACCCTTATTAATGTCTTAAGGTGTAATCTATTCTTTGAATATTTAGTCTATTTTTGTGTCATAATTAAAGTGCTTATAGCCTCCAAAAACAATCTAAGTTTAAACTTCTTATTTACTTTTAATTAATAAGATGATTCATAATCACACAAATATCTAAGTTTTATTTTTGAACATAAATTTTAAAAATATTAATTTCATTTTTAAACTCGTATCAGTCAAACACTTCTTAAATTGAAATATATCATAAATCTTTTTTGGCACAAGAGGACAAGAGAACCATAAATTGCTATAATATCTCATACCATTTCATTTATTATTTTTTCCTTCTCATCTCCTATATAAACTGGTATAATATCCCTCATTTTCTCCAATAAAACATAACAAAAAATGTCAAGAAATAATTTTGATATCCAAGTTCAATTTCAGGTTCATCATTTCACTCTCTCTAATATATATATATATATATATACTTTTTTTTATTTTTTATTTTTTTTATGTTCTTAATTTTTATTTTATTTTTATAGGATGGATCAATTACGATTTTAGGCGTATCGCCTGATATGGTTATGAAGAGGGTCTTCATGACATACTGTAGGGAAAAACTAATAGACGACAAAACAATTCGATTTCTCTTAGATGGAGAACACATTTCACCAGCAAAGACTATTGATGAAGTAAGACCTTAATTTGCATATAATTTAATCTAATTTATTGTTAATTTAAAATTATATATTTTTAAATTTGTTTTCGTGTTTTTGTTTTTATGAAGGTTGGGTTAAAAGATGGTGATCAGATCAATGCTATGGTGTCTTAAAATGGAGGAGGATTCGCAAACTAAATATGAAGAAGAACAACATATCACACATGAATATGTTGCACTTTTTTAATTTATGTTTTTTATTAGAATTTTAATTTCGAAGCTATGTACTTTTGTTTTATTACTAAAGACAACTTGGATGTCATGTGTCCATGTTGATCATGCAACATTATAATCTTAAATTTGTATGTGAATTTAAGATGGTTAGTAAAATCGTATTTTCTCTTTTTGAGCCTCAAATTTTTGAATAGGGGATGCATGATTTTATTTTTGCTTAATTATAAAAAAAAAAAAGGTCAAATATATTCTTGAACTAGTCAAAATGGATCGATTATATTTCCTGTTACGTGTTTGATTCAAAAATGTTCACCAACTAGCAAAAAAAGATACTTTATGTATTGACCTGTTATTTTCTTTTTTTAATCTTAGTTAATCAATGGAATGATATTTTGCTAATTTTTTACTAGTATCTTGAACAAAATCTTTAACTTAGCTTATGTTATCTTAACTATAATTATGTGATAATAATGTCTTTTCATTATTGGGGGACTCAATTTTATTTTTTTTAATATTGGATGTGTAATTGCATTTTTGCTTTATTATAAAATAGTAAAGTTTGTAGAAAAAAGTATAAAGTCTTTATTTCTGAAAAAAATAAGAAAGCAAACCTGAATTAAATTACTTTATATTGTGTGATGAGGGGCGGAGTTACGTAGGGCGGAATGTTCATCTGTACCCTCTTAGTAAAAAAATTACAATATGTATACATATGGTTAAAATATATTGAATCCCCTTTAGCTTCCTCGAATGTTTACTTCTTCATAATTTAAACTTCTTGGTGAAAATCCTGATGCCATCATTGTGTGTGGCTAAGTATTTTGTGAAAAACGTATTCATTCTCTAAACAATTTTTTTTTTAAAAAAAAAGGTTGGGCGGAGCTCAGTGGCGGATCCAGGATTTAAAGGTTGTGGGTGCTCACTTCCTTTAACATAAACATGTTAGCAATCACATAGTGCAAGCGTATACTAACTCAAACTCTTTAATAAAAAAAGTAAACGTATACCTTGCTTTAATGAAAATCTCAAAACCTAATTTCCCTAACCCTTTTTTTTCATTATCTAACTTTAATCAAACATCAAATCTTATTACCTTGCTTTTGTATTTTGATTTTGAAAAGAAAAAAGCTTGAAGTTTGTTGTTGGGCTGGCTGCTTTCTCTTTGAAACAAGAAGAAGAAGAAGAAGAATGATTTCCTCTTTTTGTTAAAAGAAAAAATCTCATAAAAGTGGGCAGTGAAAAGGTTTTAAAACATAGAAAAGGTTAAAAATAAAAAAGAAAGAAAAAGTTAGTCACCCTAAACTAATTAAGAATAGGAAAAGTCAAAACAAGTACAAAATTCGGAGTAAAATAAGCCCTTGATTAAAAAAAAGGAAAAGTAAAAAAAAAGTGCAAAATTCGCTGGAAAAAGTTTTTTTTAAAAAAGAATGGGGCTGACGAGATTCGAACCCTCGCCCTCATGCTTCGCGCGCATTATTTTTCCAAGTGTTAACCAGCGCACCCACGACTGCTAGTGTTCTATGGGTGCTTATTTTTATTTAATAACATATTTATCATATTTTCTATATATATATATATATACAAATTTTTTTCCCGAGTCAATGGGTGCTCGAGCACCCAAAATTGACTACGTGGGTCCGCCCCTGGGCCGGAGCTTGTTGTAATGTGAACATTGTTTTTTAAAACCTCAATCATAGAAAGCCAATGTGCACTAGCCTAGCTATAACTAACGTTTTTCAGCTTGTTGTTATGTGAACATTGTTTGTATATTTTCTTATGTAAAAGATTTATTTTTTTCGTATGAGCTTCGTTTACTTGACCGAGGAATGTAAATAGATGTTGAATATCTTAATGTATAAACATATTTCCTCGAAAATAGTCCTTTCAGGCGGTGACCGTTTACTCTATAAGAAATTTAAACATAATTATAGCTGTATGAAAATGCATCAATGGAGACTTGTAGTCAAAGGCAATGATGGAATTTTTCTGGTAGTGGAAGAGAAAGAAAGTTGCATTCTATTTTAAAAAAAAGTCTTAAATGGAATTTCTAGTTTACTTTTTAAGAATAATTTTTTTCCTCATTGCCTCCTCTCTACTTCACCCCTTTTTACACTCTACCTATGTATATATAAAGGAATCAGTAATAGTCCCTTTTGATTTCTTAAGATCTTTTCATGTTTCTTGTTTCTTGTTAGAATTATTGTGTATTGGACGCAGATTAAGATGGAAGGTTAGTAGGTATTAGAATGTTGTTTCACTTATCTTTCCGTACTGGTAGTCGTAGTGTTTCTCTTGTAGTTTCTTGCCCTTAGATTTGTCATGCCCCCCTTTTTACATAATGCTTTGTCTTTTCATTTATGTTATTTCCTTTTCTGACCTGCTTTGATGTGTTTTTTCTTGAGTCAAGAATTAAACATGTCTACCTCTCAAGGTAGGGTAAGGTCTGCGTATACTCTACCCTTCTCAGACCCTACTTTGTGGGATTATATTACACAGGGTATGTTGTTGTTGTTGTATATTTTGTGTAATTTTGCTAATGTGGCCTATTTTTGAAACTTGGAATTGGGATAGAGTGGAGAAATTGATTCAGAATAGTATGTTTTGATGTTGATGCTTTTAGAATAATTTCGAGACAATGAGATCTCTTGCTCACTTACGATTTGAATATAGAAGAACATGACCTTCTTTTCAGATCTTCTTAAGTGTAAAAATGAAGATCCCTTGTAGAAAATAGGCCTTGCATCTAACTTAATCACAAAAGTTAGCTCATTAGGCGAGGAGTATCCAAAACCATAATGTCTGTCATGTTTTGTACTAACAGCAACATATCGTTTGTTAACTTGATGTCTTTATTTGTTTTTAAAGGCTCAGCTCAGCCATGTCTGGTACTCAAGTTATTATCCAACAAGGTTGGAAGCTTACTGTGTTTTTGGAATGCACCGAAAAAGTACAGGAGATTGGATACTAAGCTTGAAACAAAAATGGTGGAGCTTAAGAGAAGTTCATCAGGGCAAAGCAAATTCAGGTCAATCAATAGCATAATCTTGAAATTTCCTCATTTTAAAGAGGGGTTGAAGGAGATAAAAGGCGTCTTTGAACAGTTCGGTTAGTAGCTTCTGTATATGCTGAGATTTGAGTTTTTCGTTACACTTTTACTGTCAATGGATTTATGTGTTTTCTGTGTTTGGTTCTTTTTCCTAAGATGAAGATTCGAATGGGACTATTGACCGGGATGAACTAAAGAAATGTGTAAAGAAGCTGCATTTTCATGTTAAAGATGAGGAAGTTAATGATCTTTTCGACTCTTGTGATGTGGATGAAAAGGAAGGGATTCAATTCAATGAGTTCATTGTTCTTCTGTGTCTTCTTTATCTATTGATAGATTCATCGTCCTCCTCTGACAATGTACGTGAATACTGTCCTCTTCGTTATATACCTTCTATAAGTAGTCGTAGTATTGCTCCTGTAGTTTCTTGTTTTGTTGCAGTTTTTGTTCTGTTACTATCTATTGTGTTTGTTATTAACTGTTGTTTCTTGTATTTCCGTTACTGCTTTCACTGGATTGCTTTGGACTGTTGAAAGGTCTATCGGAAACAGCCTCTCTACCTTTGAGGTAGGGGTAAGGTTTGCATACACTCTACCCTCCCCGACTGTTGTTGTTGTTGATGTGGAGTTATATATTCATTAGGATCACGTTTATTTCAGACCTCGAAGATCGGTTCACCAGAGCTGGAAGCAACATTCAACACAATAGTTGAGGCATTCTTGTTTCTTGACAAAAATGGTGATGGGAAACTGCACAAGAAAGATGTCCTCAAGGCATTAAACGATGAATGTCCTTGCGAGAAATCCCCTTCTCATGTCACTCGTACTCGATTTAGTACTGTCCTTTCACATTGTCTTAAAATCAAACTAACTAGCTGTGATAACTTCTAACATGACGATGATCTGGTTGAAAATTGCAGGAGAAATGGACTGGAACAGGAGTGGCAAGGTCAGTTTCAGGCAGTTTCTTTTCGCGTTTCTTGATTGGGTTGGTATAGACACAGACGATGAGAATCACACGACTAAAAGGGAGACTAAGTGCAACAACCACACCTCAACTAAACTAGTGGATTCGGCTGTATGAATCCTCACTAACCATATCACTCCGTTTAATGAAGTAAGGTCAGACTAGTATTTGTACATATAAAGTAGCTCTCTGCTCTGTATAAACTTTCATATTTAAGGTATATTCTGCTATTGTATCGAAAAAAACTCATCAACTTCATAAAAATCTGCATATCTGATGCTTCCATTACCACGATGCTATCAAAGCCGTCCACACTAAATTACACAAATGTTCTGCTGAAGCAACATAGTCATACATGAACAAATGAAGAACAAAGACATAAAGATATAAAGCTTAATGTTCATTTCTATCTACATGTAACTACTTCACATCTTACGCGATGATCATTGTATACCAAGAGCTTGAATTCTCCTTACAAGGGACAAAGCAGAAGCATTTCTTGTTCTCCATTCTTCATGGTTCTCCTTCTTTCGTCCATTTTCCATTAACCATTGATCATGTCCATCGAGAATGTTCACTATTTGCCTCATGCTCGGTCTTGATTCAGGATCATACCTAGTGCAAGCCATTCCTAATTTGACTAGCCTGATCAGTTCCCTGGTGTTGAAGTTTCCATTCAACCTCCAATCTGCAAGTTGTTCGTATGGCCTTTTCTGCACCTCGAATTCATGAACTCGGTTAACCAACAAAGCCTCAGGCCGGCGGAAATCTACTGCCATCTGACCACTAACTATCTCAAGCAGAACTACACCAAAGCTATAAACATCAGCCATTGTTGTTGCATCACCAGAATCCATATGCTCCGGTGACATGTAACCAAAAATCCCTCTAACAGATTTGTTTTTATCAACCACAACATGATGGCTATGCTCATTTCGAGTCAAGAATTCAGCAAGAGCAAAGCAACCAAGCCTTGGGTTCATATCTGGATCAAGAATGATGGCAGATGATGTGATGCATCTGTGTATCACCTGTTCATCCCATTCCTCATGTAGATAGCGAACCGCAGAGGCAAGTGATTTGACAATGTTATACCGATGACGCCATCTTAGAGTACTGGAGGCATTGTCCCTATGATGATTCTGATGGAAAAGGAGGTGGCTTAAAAGGCTACTCTGAGAGTACTCATAAATGACAAGCATTTCACCTTGCTCGGTGCACCATCCGCGGAGTTGCACCAGGTTTCTGTGGCGTAATCGTCCTAAGTTCTGAAGTTCATTCGAGAACCTCACTCGTAAAGCAGGACAAGTTTTCATTCCCAACCTTTTCACTAAGACATGCTGGTTGTTTTCAAGAAAGCCATGATAAGCAGTTCCAAAGTCAATCTCAGCAACTCTTCTTGAATCCGAAAAATTGTCCGTGGCAGCAATGATCTCCTTGAATGTGATCTCCCTAGCAGTTTCAACCATCAGGAAATTACTCGATTGGCGCCTGCTGCTGCAATTTCCAGACTCATTATTGCTGCTGCAATTTCCAGACTCATTATTGCTGCTGGTGCTTCCACTTTCAGCACTTAGATACATGGTATCTCCTGTGGCTGTGATGAACATTGTTGAGTTGAAACCGGGCGTCGTGCTCGTGCTGGTTGTGGCAGTGGACCTTGAGGTGATTGTGTTGCTAGTTGTACTATTGCTTGGTGATGACAAAGATATATAAAGAGGATGGGACTTGAAACAAGGAAGATCAGGCAATTTACCATAAATATGACCAGAAAGCGCTTCCACAACCCATTTCATATTAGGCCTTGATTGAGGTTCATGAAGTGTACAAAGAAGGCCAATATGTATTAGCCTCTCCATATCATTAAGCTTGTAAGAACCATCAACAAGTCTGCTGTCACCAGCTTGTAAGGCCAATTTTTCATCAGAAAGTCTCCTGATCCAATCAAGAAGTATGATCTGATCATCCGGGGACGCGAGATCAACAGCGCGCCTTCCTGAAACAATCTCCAGTACAACAATCCCAAAGCTAAACACATCAGATTTTGCAGTGGCAGAACCTTTTTTCTGAAAACTTTCAGGAGGTAAGTACCCTATAGTTCCACCAATTCTTGTTGTCTCAGCCAATCTAAACTGCTGATTCTTCATAGAAGGCGTCCTCGGTTGGTACTCGAGTTCATGTTCCAACCACCTAGCTAAACCAAAATCGCCTAGTCGGGCGTTGAAATGGGAATCAAGCATCACATTGCTTGTCTTAACATCTCTATGAATGATCTGAGTCTCCAATTGTTCATGGAGATAAAACAAGGCAGCAGACAAGCCATTAACTATATTTTTTCGACGTTCCCAATCAAGAACAGGGGACCCTGTATTCTCCTGTTTTCGGAACAAAATCCGATCAAGGCTACTGTTAGGCATATAATCATACACAAGGAACAACTGATCATCATGAAAACACCACCCCCTTAGCCTCACAAGATTCCGATGGCGGAGATGAGCAACTGCCACCAACTCAGCAGCAAATGTTTTCTCAAATTTCTCCCCTTTCTCAGCTAAACATTTCACAGCTACAACTGTTCCATCACTGGGTAAAACAGCTCTAAAAACTTTCCCAAATCCACCACTTCCTAAAACTTCATCCTCACTAAATCCATTAGACCCTATAAACAGCTCAGAATAGCTAAAAATCCTTGGATTATGATGATGATTATAATCACCACCACCTTTCTCACCTAGCTGCATACCTTCAGTGTCATGAAAAACACCAGAAAATTGTTTTTCCCCAAATTCTTGATGACAACAAGTTACCCATTTGGAATCAAGTAATTTAGAAAAAGATTCATGAATAAAATCAAGAACTTGACCCCCACAACCCCTTTTGGTTAAAGACTCGTTTTTTTTCTTTGGAACTTGTTTTTCACCATCAAGAACTTGTCCCCCATAACCCCTTTTGGAAAAAGACTTATTTTTTCCCTTTGAAACTTGTTTCTCACAATCAAAAACTTCACCCTCACTATCCCTTTTGGAAAAAGACTCATTTTTTACCTTTGAAACTTGTTTTTCACAATCAAGAATTTCTCCCTCACTACCCCTTTTGAAAAAAGACTCATTTTTTCCCTTTGGAACTTGTTTTTCACCATCAAAAACTTGACCCCTAAAACCCCTTTTAGCAAAAGACTCATTTTTTATCTTTGGAACTTGCTTTTCACCATCAAAAACTTGACCCCCACACCCCCTTTTGGATAAAGATTCAATCTTTTTCTTTGGCTTGTGTGATTCTACTTCTTGTGTTTCATGATCAATCTCATCAAAATCATCAGATGGCAAAACAAAACACAAACGTTTGAGCTCCATGGTTATGGTTTCATGAATAGGATAAAGAATACTAACATTTAGTTGGGGAAATGAGAGGGTAGTTGTGTAATGAACAAGAATTCAATGCAAAAAAAGGGGTTTATATGGTTTTATTCAAACAAAATTAGGTTGCAAGGTTTGAAATGTGATACACATGAACTGGCCAACAACAAAAATCCTAAATAAATCCAACCATTTTTTTGTCTTTTTGTGTATAAAATGACAAATTTTGTTTTCTGGAAGGATGTTACACATTCAATTTCGTCAGCATATGTTCACACTTTTGGTTTTGATGATAGATTCTTTCACATTAAAACCGCGTATACACTATTTTGAGAGTTTAACTTTTATATACTGACGTTATAAAGTTTGATGTGTATCTAGTGACGATAGTCAATATACAATAATGAGTAGCAAGATTAACTTATGTGCAAAAACAATATAAAAATGAGTATAACATGTATCGAGTTTAATTTTTATGTATTGATGTTATACAGTTTGACATTTATGTCGTGATGAAAGTAGGTTTAATGAATACTCGCTCCGTTCATTTTTAATTGTTATGGTTTCTTTTTTTAGAGTCAAACGATAAGAATTTTGACTGATATTTTATGGTGTATTTTTCATCATATTGATATGTAAAAAGTTGTAATTTATACTACTTTTCATATAGTTTTTTAATATTATTTTTTTGTTTAAAATATCAAATTAATGTTATCTAATTTAACTTTGAAAATTAGTCAAATTGACTTTTGAAAAACGCAACATGAAAATTAAAGTGAACGGATAGAGTATAAGAAGTAACGAAATTAACATTTATGCAGTAAACATTTAATGAACTCTGAATGTATATAGTAGGTTTAATTGAAATTACTAAAGATAATATCAGTCAAAGAGAAAATCTATGTTTTCTACATGAGATAAGTTTGTTTGATCGTAATCCATAATAGAAAACAGCAATATTTATTTGAAAAAATTAGATTCATTTGATTTTATTAGAAAAAAAAAACTTATCAAATATGACATTGAATTTGAATGGTCTACCATTGTCGAAATGTCTCAGTTGGTTTGGAGGGTGGTTATTCACATGAATGACTCGCGATCCATTCCCCTCAATGTCTTTTGAGTCGAGCATGTCGCATAGGACTTGTCAAGTGTGGTTTACATTCCTTGTGTGGTTTGCAGGCTATTACACAGTGGGGGATTTACCCAGTGCGCACAAAGTGCTCACCACAGAGTGTTCACCCAAAGGGCAAAGACTGTGGCAGAGGTTGTAGCGATTGCGGGTTATCATGGGTTAAAAAATATTATTAAATGGCTCCAAAAAGGCTAAAATTAGAGTATTAATTAGAAGACACTTTTTTTCCTTTTACAATTTTTTTTTTTAGAGAAATGAGTATTACAAGTCATTAGTAGAAACTTCATTTTCCATAACAAAAATATGAAAATATTTTAGAACCCAAAGTGGAAGAAAAAATCTTGAAAAAACAAAAACAATAGAGGACACACGGTTTCTTTGAAATACGTGTATTAAAAGTTTTGACTCCTTGACTTCTTCAATATTAATGGTCTAAATAGTTCTATATTTCTAATTTAATTACTAACAGAATATATTGACAATCTCTTAAATTTGAAGTATCATTGTTATATAAGATAAATATCACTTAAATTATTTATATGATACTTGAATAATTGAACTCGACATTTGGATTCAAAGTTTAAATTCTTATTCGAGAAAAAAAAGAAG